AATGATGAAGAACAACATAGTCTCATAGGAAATCATAAGTCACAAGGAGTAGACGCATCTGCATCGGCCATTGAGAACGATTTTCAGCCATGTCACCAACTACTACTTCCAACCATTGGTTTTTACCGTCCCGAGGACCCCAACCAGTCGGGAATTCTACACCTTCCTACATGTCTGGCTTAAAATAACTGTTGTGGATTTCATTGACTGGTGAAGCCATGTTTTGGTTTGACCACCACGTGCTAGCTCTTTTCCAGCCTGACCCTATGACAGCTAACATTGGTCGTTGGTCGAGGAAGGCGATGGCTAGGGATGCATGCGTAACACATGTCCTAACCATCTCCTCAGTCGATGTATCTTCACAGCCTCGTCGATTGATTTCCCCTCCCATCTACCAAGCACTCGACTGATGCCTCACCTCAATATTGCTCACCCTATTATACCACTTAGCACACACACACACACACACACGAGATAGAACGCAGTCATCTATGATCAAAGACAGCTAATATTTTCATGCCTTCCACTCTGAATGACCAGGTCTCACAGTCAGCCACTCAGCCATAAAGGAGGACGGAGGGGATTGATGAGCAGTACACTCGCCCTTTGGTCGATAGCCAGCCGGATATCACGTCTATGCCAGAGACGGTGTCAACTGGCATATGCGAAACTAGTCCTCTGTATCCGTACCCAGTTGAGATTTCGTCAGGGATCAACCCGTTGGCACTGGCTGATGCAACTTCCCAAATAAGTGAATCGGTCAACCCGCTCTACCACTTCACTCCCCATTTCTAAACTAGGAGTCAGTGTAGTCTAGTCCTGTAACATCATCTTACATTTGGCGGGAGGGAATCGCTCGGATGCCAAACATTCGTAGATCGTAGCTCAAGGTGTTCAGAAGACTTTACTGTATTATGTCAGCGTCCTCGCCTAGAAGGACTATATCGTCTGCATATTCTAAGTCAACGAGATTATTCTCTGTTAGCAAATCAATCCCTGTGTTATTCCCTGGTTATCTGAAGGCGTCTAACTTAAACAAAGTAAAGACTATTTGTGAGATACTATCAAATGTTGGTTAACAGGGATTTGATTGGTGACAGGTTTGATTTCCATTGGAGAGAACTGGGATAGAACTGTTTCTGTGTTGTCCTACTGCTTGGGACTCTTCAGAAGCACCCTACAGGCACACAAGCACACCAGGCGTTGAACGCATTACCTGCCAGTTACAAGGCAAGAGAGCGAGCGAGTTCGTAGACCATTGAGCCGCTCTCTGGAATTCGATCCAATAGACATCGCGTGAATTTTAGTCAATAGGCTGTCAGTGGCTAGTGAGCCTACGATTAATTATCGAATTGGTTTCAAGATTTCACCATGCGCTGAGAACGCTTAGAGAACCATTGAATAACCAGCTGGGAGTAATGGATAGGTGTCTCGTCCTAGAGTACTTGGGACTCTCCATCATTACCCACCCACCAAAAGGGGATTCGAACTCAGGACCTACGGGTTACAAGTCAAGCTTGTAGTCCTCATCAACCTGGAATCAGTCAGGAAATCTTCTGCACTCCGCCTCAGCTAGCATAAACAACAAGATTTGGATTTTCACCATAAATATCAGTGAAGTCAGTCAGGTAGTCCTTCTATATGGGTAAGAACTTTGAATTGCGCATCAAGAAAAGCATTCCCCAACACAGGTCACTGCAAATTTTTACCAACTCTTGCCACCTTTGCTAGCTGGTTGGCTCCATATTGAAGATCCAGCCAGGAAGAATTAGCAACAAGAAACTCTGGCGATGAGCTGCCGATCGCTCAACAAATATGGAGCCTGTCGCTGAGGAAGTAGGCCTCGGACGACATCTTGTGCAATGCAGACCATCGTACATCAAGTGGAGTCCCAGTAGGATGTGATGAGTCGCTGACATGGAGGAGACCGAGTGGGGGAGTTGGAGGACGGGGAGGAGGAAATGAGAGATTATAGGCAATTGTGGAGTCAGGCAGCCTTAGAGAACAGCAGAGAATAGAAGAAAGTGGAGATGTGTTGCTGAAGCCCTATGTTCCATTCGAAACGCAAGGGAATAATAATAAGGAAACGACAATGACATTATGATAGAAATATAAGCACTAATAACGTTTATTAAAAATAAAATCAACATCAGATATGCATGGCTATTTGGCATACTTTGTGTGAAACATGAATAAACAGCCAAATATGATCTTAGATAATGATCAAAATTAATTACGGGTAGCTATTACAAACGAGCTGTTATGACTGTAATTTATTTATTGTATTGCAAATACACCCTAAACGTTTTACTTAAAATTTGCAACACAGTAATGAATACAAAATGACTGCTGACTAACTGACTGGTCTCAACATAGAACTTTCCATAGAAGTACCACATCTCGTGTACCCCACACAAAGGAGGAAGAACGACAGAGAAGCGATTCGAAAGACTATTAATAAGCAGAGATATCAGGATGAAAGAAACAATAGTAACACAGAAAGTACAACAGAGAGACTAAAAGAGTCAGTGTATTTGAGCTATTCAGAATAATCCCAACTCATATATATAATCAACTACTTCTAGCCACCGACCCACCCACCGAAGCGGAGGTTCGTAAGAACTCCAAGTGTTAAAACGCCATAAGGCACCCGGCCCAGACAATCTACCCCCGGCTCTTTTTAAAGATGGTAGCGAGACTCTCGCAATGGCTGTAACTGGATTATTTGGGAGGGTATGGGAGACTGAGAGTGTACCATCAATGTGGAACGAAGCCATTATCGTCCCCATTTTTAAAAAGGGTAGACGTAATTTGTGTGATAGGGGTATCAGTCTGCTAACAGTCGCGTCTAAAATATTGGCTGCTATCTTGCTTCGCAGACTGTGCAAAATACGTGAGGGATTGATTCGCGAAGAGCAGGCTGGGTTTCGTTCAGGTCGTGGATGCATTGATCATGTGTTCACCCTTCGTCAGTTGTTGGAACACCATCGCACGTATGCAGACCAACGATCGTTGTGTCTCTTGATATTAGAGCTGCCTTCGATTCGTTGGACAGAAATGTGCTCTGGAACTGTCTGTTAGAAAGGGGTGTACCTGAGAGATTTGTTAACATCTTGAAAGCCATATAAAGAAACACCTCAGGTAAAGTGAGGGCATACAACCAATTATCATCACTGTTCCCAATCAACTGTGGGGCTAGACAGGGTTGCCCAATCTCTCCATTTCTCTGTAACTATTCCATCGATGACATTCTGGAGTCAGCTCTGAAGGATGTGTGTGAAGGTGGTGTAGATCTGCTACCTGGAGATGGACTGTTTGACCTCCAGTATGCAGACAATATCGTCTTACTGTGCGATAGCATGCAGGCTGCCCAAATCGCACTTAATCAGTTGGCAATCAGTGTCTGTAAGTATGGTATGTACTTTGCGCCATCTAAGTGCAAAGTACTGTTACAAGATTGGCAAGAGTCTGTACCTGCAATCACTCTTGCGGGTGAACGGCTTGAGGTTGTTGATAAGTTCGTGTATCTGGGTAGTTGTGTAAGTGCTGCCGAAAGGGTGATGGATGAGATTCCTAACCTATAATGAAGGCTAGGGTGGCATACATCAACTTGAGCCACCTATGGCGCCGTCGCGACGTTAGTCTGGCTGTCAAAGGTCGGGTATACAATGCTTCGGTGCGGGCTGTCTTGCTCTACGCCTGTGAAACCTAGCCTCTCCGAGTAAGCTGAGGATGTGCGGCGACTCTGCGTGTTCGATCACCGCTGTCTCCGCAGGATTGCTAGCGTTCGATGGATAGCATCATCGCGTGAGTAATTCTGAGGTTCAGCGGCGTGTGTTTGAACACAGTGGAGTTCACCATTCATTGAGTGTCGTCATCTGGAAACACCGGCTCCGAGAGATAGTTCGAATCGATGGCTCGAAACTGATATATAGTCACATGATGGGTGTTTTGTTTTTGACAGTCTGTCATATTTTGGTATGTGTATATTGATTGATATTCCATTATAACGCACAATATGCTTTGTCTGTCCATTAACTAAATAAACAAAGTATGACCTTTTTATCACATGACATTATAACCAATCAGAATCCAATGACGGTAAGATGTCTATCTATTGGTTCATGTATATTAGTCATTTTCATATATACTTTTGTATTGTACACTTTTGGATACACTTGTTCACACATTTTGCACACTGTGTACCCTTTCACTCTCACACTTGTGTGACAGTCATTTTTTTCCTTGTTTGGAAAATACAAGTATCATCGTGAACGAGGTGGTCTGCTGATTTTCCCCTTTCCGCGTCAGGACATTAACCACTCGACGAGTACATACCAGAAACGTTATCGGATATGGCGAAGAATTGTAACCAATGGCGAAAGTGTTGCAATTTCCTTCTTTCTTCCCTTCCCAATGATAGTTGATGACTGTTTTCCTTCCAGATGAAGTTCTTTATCCGTTCTCCACTCATTTTTTACTTTTAATTTATGTTGTGCCACATAATAATAAAATATCTTTCTTGGTGCCATATTGTAGCAAGATTTTTCTGCGTTGAAATAATAATAATAATAAACTGGGTAGTTAGACATTATAAGGACACCAAACAGACAATTTACACCTCCCTACATGACTTTCTCAAAATAACCGTCAAAGATTTCTACCGACCGATTTCAAACAAGTTTTGGTTTGATCACCACCACCTAACTCCTTTTTAACCACATCTATCCTAAATGTCAGTTAACATCGCCTGTCGAGAATGGCAATGGCTAGACAGGCATGGCGTGCGTAACACATCTCACCACAAGCGATTCACCTCCACCTAAGACTGGATATCTAACCTCAAAAAATATATTACTCACCTTCTTGTAGAATCCAACACAAAACAGGAAGATAGAACGCAGACACGTAATCTAGGCTTTTCAAACCTTAATTTAATTGTTAAGCGATTAAATACAACAATGGGGAAAATAAACATACATATTAATCCCCGCACTTACTTTGCTATTGTGAACACCTCCGTTATTTGACCGATTGACAACATTTTGAGAAGTAGAATTCTCGTTGACAAATGGTGTATGACAGCTGATATGTTGATGGTAATTAGAAAATGAGTAAAACAAGAACAAAAAATAACATTAACATTGATGTATGCATGTGTGTTGGTTAACAAAACCGACTGAAATATACAATAAGACAAAATGTATTATCATTATATCCTTTAATTTCTAGAGGAACATAGGGCTTCAGCTGCGCATCTCCATTGCCTTCTGTTTTCTGCCAACGTTTTCACCCCGCTCCAAGTCAACCTTGCACTGAAGACCAACTCGCCGCTTCCCTTTCGGGTTCCACTCGAGTGATGGCTTGTCTAGTGGTGTTACTTGATGGTTTCCTCAGAGTATGGCCAATTCACCTCCATTTCTTCCTGCTTATTTGTTGCACCATCGGTTTCTGCTGGGTTGGTTTGCTCCCAGGGATCCGTGTTGCTGATCTATTCTGGTCGGCCATCAGATCTTGAACGGAGTACTGAGCGAAGACAGGTGTTGATGAAAGTCTGTAGTTTGTTTGAGGTACTCTTCATGACGCCAAGTCTCTGATCCGTATAATAGCACTGACTTCACATTGTAGTTGAAAACCCGCATCTTATTTTTGTGCTGAGTGCTGTTGACCTCCACACAGTCTTGAGAGCAATGAAAGCTTGCCTTTCTTTCCCAGAGGTATTAAAGTACGGTGGAGACAGTTTACTGTCTGCATTAAATGAGGTTCTAAGCAGCGTCTGGGAATCAGAGGAAGTTCCATCGGGTTGGTGTAAGTCAATGATTATCTCCATATACAAGAGGGGAGACAAGTCTTCCTTCCTGTGATAATCACAGAAGGATTAGCTTGACTAATATAGTATCTAAAGTCCTAGGCTCAATAATCATGCGTAGACTAAGTGGTGCTCGGGAGAAACAAACACGAGAAAGCCAGGCAGGCTCTAGACAAGGAAGAGGGTGTATTGATCCTATCTTCACCCTCCGACAGATTCTCGAATATAGGAATTCCTACCGGCGTCCAACAGTCATTATATCTCTTGACCTAAAGCCGGAATTCGATTCTGTTGACCGAGAGGTTCTCTGGCGTTGCTTGGCTGTAAAGGGAATTCCGAGAAATACATTGCACTGATTACGGTACTCTACTCGTACTCATACAGCCAGGTGAGAGCTTAAGGAGAGTTGTCATCTGAAGTGGTGACGACTAGTAGTGTCCGTCAAGGATACCTATTATCCCCTTTTCTCTTCAACTTCATCATAGATGTACGAATGCACTTAACCCTAAGCGACTTGAGCGACACAACGATTGACTTGCTACCAGGTAATAATCTCGTTGACTTAGAATATGCAGACGATATAGTCCTTCTAGGCGAGGACGCTGACATAATACAGTAAAGTCTTCTGAACACCTTGAGCTACGATCTACGAATGTTCCGCATGCCATTCGCTCCCGCCAAATGTAAGATGATGTTACAGGACTAGACTACACTGACTCCTAGTTTAGAAATGGGGAGTGAAGTGGTAGAGCGGGTTGACCGCTTCACTTATTTGGGAAGTTGCATCAGCCAGTGCCAACGGGTTGATCCCTGACGAAATCTCAACTGGGTACGGATACAGAGGACTAGTTTCGCATATGCCAGTTGACACCGTCTCTGGCGTAGACGTGATATCCGGCTGGCTATCGACCAAAGGGCGAGTGTACTGCTCATCAATCCCCTCCGTCCTCCTTTATGGCTGAGTGGCTGACTGTGAGACCTGGTCATTCAGAGTGGAAGGCATGAAAATATTAGCTGTCTTTGATCATAGATGACTGCGTTCTATCTCGTGTGTGTGTGTGTGTGTGCTAAGTGGTATAATAGGGTGAGCAATATTGAGGTGAGGCATCAGTCGAGTGCTTGGTAGATGGGAGGGGAAATCAATCGACGAGGCTGTGAAGATACATCGACTGAGGAGATGGTTAGGACATGTGTTACGCATGCATCCCTAGCCATCGCCTTCCTCGACCAACGACCAATGTTAGCTGTCATAGGGTCAGGCTGGAAAAGAGCTAGCACGTGGTGGTCAAACCAAGACATGGCTTCACCAGTCAATGAAATCCACAACAGTTATTTTAAGCCAGACATGTAGGAAGGTGTAGAATTCCCGACTGGTTGGGGTCCTCGGGACGGTAAAAACCAATGGTTGGAAGTAGTAGTTGGTGACATGGCTGAAAATCGTTCTCAATGGCCGATGCAGATGCGTCTACTCCTTGTGACTTATGATTTCCTATGAGACTATGTTGTTCTTCATCATTACTATTCCTTTGTCTCACACCTCTGTTCACTGTCTCCATTATGCATTTCTTCTGTTGCTTTGTGTGCTACAAGGAGGGAGTGTGGCGACTTGAACACTGCTGCATATCAGTGCAAATTTCTATGTAGAATCCAGACAGACAGACAGATAACCAACAACATTTGGTAATCAAACAGTTTAATAATCTCTCTCTCTCTCTGTTTATCTAAACTACATTTTATTTTTTTAACCCTTAATTTGTATAAACTAAAGTTTAGTATAGTGTGGTGTTAAGCAATTGAGCTTTTATACTTTCCAGCTAAATTACTTAAAGTTGAATCGATGTTGGAAACAGTATGCTTGATAGAACATTTTAATTATTATGAAAATGTCAACTTGTCGAAAATTCAATATATATATATATATATATATACATATCCTTGTTTTTGTAAAATATGCCCTGTGTGTGTGTGTGTGAGTGACAAGTGAACCAATGTATGGATAATATTCTCTAACTTTCTTGTATATTGACTGATTACTGTCTTCGATTATTCCACATCAAGTCAGCATCATTACTGTCTGTCTGTCTGTTTTCGACATAGAACTTTGCACAAATGTGCGGAAGTTCAAGTCGCCACACTCCGTGTAGCACGCGAAGCAAGAGAAGAAAGTACAAGAAAAGCGTAATAGAAACAGTGAGCAGAGGTGTGAGACAAAGGAAGAGTAATAACGAAGAACAAAACAGTTTCATTGGAGATCATAAGTCACAAGGAGTGGATGCATCTGCACCAGCCAGTGAGAACGATTTTGAGCCATGTCACCAATTGTTTCCAACCATAGATTTTTACCGTCCCGAGGACTCCAGCCTGGAAGTCTACACCTTCCTACGTGGCTTAGACCAACTGTTGTGGATTTCATTGACTGGTGCCAAGTTTTTGTTTGACCGCCGCTAGCTTTTTTCCAGCCTGACCCTATATCCGCTAACATTGCTCGTCGAGGGAGGCGATGACTTGGCATACGTAACACATGTCCTAACCATCTCAGTCTTTGTAGCTTCACGACTTCGTCGATTGATTTCCCCTGTTTACCTAGCACTCGACGTCTAACCTCAATGTTGCTCACCTTATTATGACACTTTACACGGGAAATAGAGCGCAGGCACCTATGATCAAAGACAGCTAGTCACCTTTTTCATGTCTTCCACTCTCAGTGGCCAGGTCTCACAACCATAAAGGAGGACGGAGCGGACTGATGAGCAGTACACCCGCCCTTTGGTCGATAGTCGAACATCTCGTCTACGCCAGAGTCGGCGTAAACTGGCAAATGCGAGACGAGCCCCCTGTATTCGTGCTGAGATTTCGTCAGAGATCAACCCGTTGGCACTGGCTGATGGTACTTCCCAAATAAGTGAAGCGGTCAACGTGCTCCACCAACCACTTCACTTCCTATTTCTAATCTAGGAGTTGGTGTAGTCCAATCCTGGAACAACATCTTGTACTTGGCGGGAGCGAATCTCATGCCAAACATTCGTAGATTGCAGCTCAAGGTGTCCAGAAGACTCTGCTCTATTTTGTCAGCGTCCTCGCCTAGAAGGACTATATCGTCTGCATATTCCAAGTCAACGAGATTATTCCCTGGTAACAAGTCAATCCCTGAGTCGCTCAAGTCACTTAGGGTTAAGTCCATTAACACATCTATGATGAAGTTGAATAGAAAAGGAGATAATGGGCATCCTTGACGGACACCACTGGTCGTCATCAGTTCAGATGACAGCTCGCCGTAAGCCCTCACCTGGCTGATGGCATGAATTCGAGTAGAGTGCCTTAATCAGTGCAATATATTTTCTCGGAATTCCCTTTACAGCCAAGCATCTCCAGAGAACTTCCCGGTCGACAGAGTCGGATTCCGCCTTTAGGTCAAGAAATATAATGACTGTTGGACGCCAGTAGGAATTCCTATGTTCTAGAATCTGTCGGAGGGTGAAGATATGATCAATACAGCATCATTACATTACTTCTTGTGTTAGTATCGTCGTGAAAATAAAAGATACTTAGCTGTCATTCGTTGAGGTGATATTAAGTACTCAACTCTTCTTACCTAAGCATTTCCAACACAGTTTATTTATTTATTGTTCATAATCACATTATCGGCGTAGGTGGCATAGCGGTTAGGACGCTCGCCGACCATGCACATGGTCCGGGGTTCGATTCCCGACCGACGCACATAGTTCATAAGAATGTGTTAGTCTAAATTTTGATTGGTTCCTAAGAATGTAATACCGAAGCTGAATATTTACACAATTCATAAGTAGGTGAATTTCCAAAATCAACTCTATAGGTCCAATAGGGTATCCTGATTTACGAAATTTAACAACACCTTAATGTGGCGAGTGCTACAGATAAGATTTATCACAAGTATTTAAAGCATTTAACGCTCATCGGCACAAAAATATCAAGTGACCGGGAGATACATTCGGTTTCAGAGAAGGCAAATAATACAGCGTTATAGAGATACATGGGAGACATGAAAGCAACACAAAGAAACACAACATGAAGTCCAGAAGAGTACTACAACATGAAGAACTGTGCAAATGGTGTGTTGAAGATATGACATACATAATTTGGCAATACAGAGATACCAATTACCACTTTAACATGAAACCTGCGCTCAAGATATCAGGTGAATTGAAACTATGGGGTCACAGAGGTGCGAACGCTCTGATGACCATGAATACATACTGATTATTGGCCAACCACACCTGTCATTATCATAACGCAAATATGCACACTATTCACCAACCAACTAAGCAGCGAATTTCACTCAGATCACGTTTTTAAGTACTGTTTGGACAATAAGTTAATAGATCGTTAAGGCTTAGGATTAGAGTTAAGGCGGGGTATTAGGGTTATAATTAAGATTAAGGTTAGGGTTACGATTAGGGATAAGTTTCGAGTTGGTATTATCTATTATAATTTGTTTTATTATCCACATTTCCCTAGTAGGCAGTCGTCAATCCTTTTACAGGAAGCCATTTAGTAATTCACCCAAGGGCTTTGCGGAAGACTTATAAACAGGATAAGAGCGATAAATAGCTAACAAAACAAGCTCACCTCAGTGAATGAATACATGTACAGAAACTGGTCTAACTCAAAAACTGATACTTCTAATTATAACTGGGAAGTATTTTTGACATATACTTGGGCACTGTGGTGGCTGAGTATAACTCAATTATGGATAAGATTTTATTTTGATAAATCTCACAGTGTTGTTATACAGTAATATTAACTGATGACCACGTTTCGAGCACAAACTATTGCCACTCATAATCTTATCAAGACATTACACACACAACTTTTTTCCTCCATTTATATACAAGTGTGGAGTCGATTAGATATCTGAATAAAAGTCAATATAGGATAATGTACATTCAGAATTATTTATATGAATGTTATTGATCAATTACAATCATAAGATGGGAAATAACAAGAGTGCTTTTATAGTCATAATAAGTAACTTGTTAGAATGTTATGATGATGTACGCGAATTGAAATAGAATACAATTTAAGACTACTTATTATCCTCTTCTGATTTGACTAACTGACTGACTGACTGGTGGTAATGTCTTATATGCATATCTCTGGTATTTGCATTGAGTCATTTCCGTTGCATGTGGTTGGGTTTAGACTCAATGAACCAGCCAGGATTCAGTAATCAACCTCTCTCTCCACCTACCTAGATTACTTTTTAGAATTTTAACCCTCTCCTACCACGTTATTGTGTGGTTGTGTGTTAATGCTTTTTTTCTAAATTACTCAGGGTCAACCATTCTTACCTTAGCTAAATTCATATGTTCCGAGAGACAGAGGTTGATTACTGAATCCTGGCTGGTTCATAGAGTCTACACCCAACACATGCAACAGAAATGACTCAATGCAAATACCAAAAATATGGAAGATATTATTGCCACCAGTCAAATCAGAAGAGGATAATAAATAATCTTAAAATGTATTCCATTTCAATTCAAGCACATCACAACATTCTAACAAGTTACTCACGTATTTTGACTAAAAAACAAAAACACTCGTCTTATTTCCCATCTGATTATTGTAATTGATCACTCATAACACTCATATTATTATTATTATTTCTGAATGTACCTTATCCCATATTACTGATTTGTATTCAAATGTCTAATCATCAATTCCACTCATGTATATAAATGAAGGAAAAAAGAAAGTTGTGTGAGTGAGTGAGTGAATGACTTGATGTGATGATTATGAGTGGCAATAATAATTAATTTTGCTCGAAATGTGGTCATCAGTCAATATTACTGCATAACACTACACTGTGTGACAGTTTATCAAAATAAAATCTTATTCATAATGGAGTTATAAAAATCTAGTATAAGCGCTTACAAAACACTATGAACAAGGCAAAAAAATGGACATTTGGGATTAATGACACTTAAGAAACAATGATGAGGATGATGAAAGAAAAATTTCAACACTTACGATTGTAAGGCTACAGGATCGTGATTACACATTTCTGTTTCAGTTGACTGAGAATCTCTTGTCTGTCCTGTAACACTGTATGCAATAAATGAATTGTTCACAGAGGGATTAACGTGCCCATTCACATAACATGATAAAAATGGTACAGGTGAATCTTGAGGATCTATAGTAGAACAGACTTCCGGCAGAGTAGAATATGTGACAGGTATTGAAGTACCCGAAGCAGTAGTAGTGTTGGCAGTAGTAGTAGTAGTAGCTTTTATGTCTAAATCAATAAAATCATCTACCAAGGTGTTGAGATTTCTTTGTTTAGATATATTAGTTGACATATTAACATGATTATTAGAAGACGGCATTCTTGCCGTTGACGATGATGATGATGATGATGATGACGTTGGCGATGATAATGAAGGTAACACTCCATTCACTGGTGATCTCGTTAATTTAATTCGCTTCGAATTCATTAGTTGAGATTTAGATGATCCATTGATATAATATAAACACGACTTTGATGTTGAAGGTGATAAGGCAGATGGTGAGAAGTGAAGGTTGGTGGTGGTAGCAGAACAACCATGACTATGATTACTATTGTTGTTCGAAGAATAGATTGTTGGTGTTGTTGTCGTTGTATTCACATTAGACATGTCAGTGCTAATTCCAGCATCATTATCACAATCCAAATTTCCATTTATATGTGTCACGGAACCATTTTCATAATGTGAACTTGTTACATGTGGTAATTCTTCATCATAAGGTGGTGAAACAGAAAATAGGTCAGAGTCAAGATCATTCCCTTCTATAAATTTATATATGGAAATAAAAAAGAAAGAAAGAAAGATGTGTTGAATGATTCTAAAAGTTCATAAAATGTAATACAACATAAACAATCTGTCTGTATATTCGACACAGAACTTTGCGCTGATATGCAGCAGTGTTCAAGTCGCCACACTCCCTCCTTGTAGCACACAAAGCAACAGAAGAAATGCATAATGGAGACAGTGAACAGAGGTGTGAGACAAAGGAATAGTAATGATGAAGAACAACATAGTCTCATAGGAAAGCATAAGTCACAAGGAGTAGACGCATCTGCGTCGGCCATTGAGAACGATTTTCAGCCATGTCACCAACTACTACTTCCAACCATTGGTTTTTACCGTCCCGAGGACCCCAACCAGTCGGGAATTCTACACCTTCCTACGTGTCTGGCTTAAAATAACTGTTGTGGATTTCATTGACTGATGAAGCCATGTCTTGGTTTGACCACCACGTGCTAGCTCTTTTCCAGCCTGACCCTATGACAGCTAACATTGGTCGTTGGTCGAGGAAGGCGATGGCTAGGGATGCATGCGTAACACATGTCCTAACCATCTCCTCAGTCGATGTATCTTCACAGCCTCGTCGATTGATTTCCCCTCCCATCTACCAAGCAATCGACTGATGCCTCACCTCAATATTGCTCACCCTATTATACCACTTAGCACACACACACACACACACGAGATAGAACGCAGTCATCTATGATCAAAGACAGCTAATATTTTCATGCCTTCCACTCTGAATGACCAGGTCTCACAGTCAGCCAGCCATAAAGGAGGACGGAGGGGATTGATGAGCAGTACACTCGCCCTTTGGTCAATAGCCAGCCGGATATCACGTCTACGCCAGAGACGGTGTCAACTGGCATATGCGAAACTAGTCCTCTGTATCCGTACCCAGTTGAGATTTCGTCAGGGATCAACCCGTTGGCACTGGCTGATGCAACTTCCCAAATAAGTGAAGCGGTCAACATGCTCTACCACTTAACATAAGCACTGTGGTTTATAAAGTATCTACTACCGCACAGGCATTGTTTACTCGTCAAGAAAGTTCTTCGTTGATGAAGACAAGAACAGACATTGGTCACGGAATCGTCGGTCAACTGACAAAATTCTACAGCTGGGTATGCATCGGTCGAAAACGAAACCTGATCCCGTCGCTTACTACTCACATTCGGAGCATATGTAGTCCTGATACAGTAGGGGAAGAGTGAAATTTTTTGAGAAAAATCCTAATAGAAAACGGATTTCCATCACGTTTTATATAGACAAGAATACACAGTGAAATGTGACTTATCATCCATACACAAGAAAATACTGTACATGAGCTTGGAATTTAAAGGTGACTTAGCTTCCGATACCATTAAAGGAGGGTCCTCACAGTCCCTGGAAAGAACATTCCCTGCTGCATTATTGAAAACAGAATTTTCCAGTCAACCGTTACTGCTCAATAATCTGAAAGACAAGATCCTGCAGTTGACTAACTCTGTGTGCGTTTATCAATTCACCTGCTCGTGTGGAGCCAGGTATACCGGTCGTTCCACTCGAGTCTTGTCCAAGAGAGTGCGAGAACAACACTATACTGCATAGTGGTTACGAAGAGGTGGAAGTGGAGCAATAAGAAGCGCAATTATTGAACATTTGGTCGACAATGATCACCTAATGATCTCAACAGCCTCCGATTTCAAAGTCATCTGTCTACAAGGCGATTGCTGAAGCAGCTTTGGCCATTGAAACGGAAAAGAGTCGGGTCAAACCCTCTCCTCCAACTTTCATAGTCTTAATCTATCTGTATTAAAGTATGCTAATCCCCATTTCATATTTTGGCCCTACTTATTTTTCGTTTTGTTTATTCAGTGTGTATACTCTTCCATTGTTAGGTCAATTGCTAGTTATTATTACGATCCTCACTGTGAATTGTCCCCGGTATTATTTCAGTTGTCCCACTTGTCATTGTAAATCCAAAATTTTGTTTCACTGCGTTAAATGCCGTGTAATCAAATTTCACACAGTGCTACGTAAAGTTTTTATTTTTCTTCTGTTTGCCTACTAATCCTATAATTCCATAGCACATCAAAGTTCTATACATCCCGAGAATTGTTCTATATATGATATTAATTGTTTCACCACTTGACATTGAACTACGATTATAATCGTAAATATTTTAATTGCATTTCGCACTGCGTCGGTGACACACTGGTTAGGACTCTCGCCGACCATGCACATGGTCCGGGGTTCGATCCTCTGCCGACGCACACCTGATATCTATGGTCGGCCTGTAAAACTTGGGCTACCGATATCACATGCTGAAAATTCCATACCTGTACCGAAAAATACGGAGTGGAATCAAGCTGTAATCAAAAATAAAAAATTTCATGTATTCACACGCACGAATCAATTCCCTCATCGGACATAATTTCTTAAAAAACACCAGATATGTACGACTGTACAACTTGATAATAAATTCGTTGTTGAAAATAGTTTCCTCGCAGAATCACTTGTTTTGATTTTCTACATGTGCCAATGGGAATTCTCCACGAAGGAAGACAAGAATCTGTAGTGATAAATAATTCCCCAAAACTATTGACCACAGCACTCATCACTCAACATCGGATTCTGACCCTGACTATTTAAGTCGATTTGTTTGGCTGAAGTCTTCCGGTCAAGCATCCACGCCATTCGGCACTCCATCGTGTTACGTTCGTGCACGATCCCTAGCCAGCTAATCAATCATCTCGCACTCCAATTTGGCCCCGAAATATATCTCGTAATTTGGACTATCAATTGTGGTGTTTTGTTTTGCCTCTGGTCTACGCGTAACGAATACTAGAGAAGTTGTTGGTATTAGATCTTAAGCAGTATACTCCGTTACAATCCGCGAACGTTAATACCGCCAGCCTCTAGAAATCTCTATCTTACAAGTAGCTGCATATAAAAAATTCTGAGAATTTATAGTACGTGTCGTGAATAGATTAGTGTGTCTCATAACTTTGACCTAGTTGTTTTATCTGACTACATGATTTAAACTGGATTTGTAGAAACACCAGCCTATAAAATAAGGGCAATACATCGTGTGAAAATGCCACCATTCGTCTGGATACCTTTATCTTTCATTTAGTTGCAAGTGACGGTAGCATTATTTCTTGACAAGCAAATAACAACTCACTGTAGGATCCCACAAATGCGGCCAAGTGAAGATACATTACAGGATGACATATACTGATAGGCGTTGTGTTAGAAAATAAAGAATCTTTTGGGTCGTGCAACATAACCAAGTGGATCGATATATATTACCAAATATAGCTTGGAACTGGAGATATTTGGTGACTGTTTCTTAAGGTTTCTTTGACATTTCTGCTGCTACATAGATAGACATATAGATAGATGCTTTACGGGATTACTATCGTGAATGCTAATCTACTCTACTCTACCCTACTCTACTTTACTCTGCTACTCTAATTGTGCAATACGATAAAAAAAAATCAGTTACAAAGTAAAATTAACAAACCTCTAGACCAGATAAGAAGTTCTTCACTGGAAACAGATGAAGACTGAGAAGGAGAACGTACATGACGTTGCATCATATTTTCCACAGAAGTAGTAGCATCAGCATCATGATTGTTGGGATTAACTAGTGCCATGAATCATACATAATATAAAGTTTTCATGAGTCTACAATTGAACAAATACTAGAGGAGATGAATCTTGGAGATAGCAATGTCAATAAATTTATATGACAAGTTATGGAAAAGCATGCAAATTTGAAAAAAGCAATCAGGTGAGTGAGTGTTATCTGAGATAATCGAGAAGTCCAGCTTTGCTTTCATTTTATAATTTTACGAAACTACCTGTTATGCAGCACTGGAGTGGATATAAATTGTGATTTGTGATGAAAGTAAAATACTGAATAACAAACACAACTTGGCAACTATCAACTGAAAGTTTTACGTACAAGTAAAATATCTTTATGCAACTACTAAAGAAACTGATGCATTACTAATGAAAAACGAGGTGTATCTGACCTTGATTAGTATGACTGACTGACTGACTGGTTTCAACGTAGAACTCTGCACAGATGTACAGCAGTTTGAGTTGCCACACTCCCTCCACCTACTACACAAAGCATTCGAACACAGTATAGACAGATTCAAAAGAGAGAGATTATAAATAGAAGTGCGAGTGAGGTGAGAACAGTAATGTGGAAGAACAACAGAGTTTTATTGGAGTGGATAAATCTTGACAAAGAGTGAATCCATCCGCACCAGTGACAGCCATCACTGAGAACGATTCTCAACCAGTCGTGTCACCGATTGACCCCAGCTTTTACTGGTTCTCACTATCATCCCGAGGATCCCAACCAATCAGCCAGTTAATCAGGTAGTCTAAACCTCCCTACATGACTGACCGACTGGGGTAAACTAAGTGTTGTGGATTTCATGAACTGATGATGGTGAAGCCATGTTTTCGTCAGACCATCAATAGCTAACTCCTTTTCAACCTCATCCATCCTATGTCAGTCGATGGCTAACATCTCCCCGCTCGTCATCAAGGAAGACGATGCCTAAGCATACATGCATAACAAATGTCCTAACTATCCATCTCAGTCGGTGTCACTTCACATCCAACTCGTCAATAGATCGATTTCCCCACCTCCTCCCTCTCTCCCTCCCTCCTTGCCTACCACTCGACCCATGCTTCATCTCAATATTCATCACCCCATTACACCTACCACCTGACATAGGACCTAGATAGAACACAGACACCGATAATCGAACAGCTATCTAGCTGAGCCTTTCGTATCTTCCAGTCTCAACGGGAATGTCTCACAGTCGGCCCGTCAGACAGCCACAAAGGAGGACAGAGCGAACTCCTACTAAGCAGCACACACACTTTGGTCGACAATCAGCTAGCCAGCCAGCCAGCCGGATATCACATCTACTAAGCCAGAGAGAGATGGCGTCAGTTGGCGCTGGTTGATGCAGCTTCTTGAACACCTGAAGTGATCAATACACAGCTATAACCTTACTCCTGCCTATCTGTCTGTCTGCCTGCTTATCTGTAAACTAGAAGTAGTCCAGTCTTGTCTGTCTGTCTGGATTCAACATAGAACTTGGCACCGAAGTGCACCAGTTCGAGTTGCCACCTTCCAAGTAGCACACAGAGGTAGACAAGAAGATGAGTGAAGAGAATCAATACAGTCTGACAAGTATAAGAGTGAAACAGAATGGGTAATGGTAAAAAGGAATATGAAAGATTACAGAGACTGAATACATCTGCGCTGGCCATTGACAACGATTTTGAGCCATGTCACCTATTGTCTCCAGCCATTGATTCCTAGAGTCCCGAGGGCCCCAACCCGGGAGTCTGCATCTCCCTACCTGACTCAGTTTAACTGTCAAGGATTTCATGGATTGATGCCATGTTTTTGTTTGGCCACCACTGGCTCTTTTCCAACCTTCACCTATATCAGCTAGCAATGCCCGTCGGGGGAGGCGGTGGTTAGGCATGCGCAGCACGTGACCTAGCCATCTTAGTCTATGTAACTCCAGTCTTGTAGAATCCATCAGCTTACATTTGACAGCACCACGAGCGAATCGCTCCCCATGCCAAACATTCGAAGATTGCTTCTCACCTTAAGGTGTCCAGATGACAGTGTTTGCATTTTGTCAGCGTCTTCACCTGGAAGGACTATATCATCATCTGCATATTTTAAGTCAACGAGACTATTATACTCCGGTGGTAACAAGTCAATCCCTGAGTTGCTCAAGTCCATTAGCACATACATCAATTGTGAAATTAAACAGAAATGGGGACAGTGGCTATCCTCCTTTTGTTGGACACCACTGGTTGTCAACATAGCTGTCAGATGACAACTCTCCGTAGGCTCTCATCTGGTTAGCTGGCTGGTTGACTGCATGAATTCGAGTAGAGTGAGTGCCTCAATTAGTGCAATGATTAGCATGAGTAGAGCAAGACTATTAGTAGTTTAAAGTGAGAAAATGGTGTCGGCCTCCAAAGCCTCAGGATGGTCGGGGGTGGGTGCCTTGCGCTGCGGGTTGGCCACCCCTCCGCACACCTGAAATGCTCCCATATGACCGGGCGTCTTACATAGCCTCTCCTGAGGAAGTCCTACTCACTGCCTTCACGTGGCGGAGGTGTTTCTCACCAAAGTGAGAGGGCGAAAGCGGATGCCCGGCGCTCTCCACCGGGTTGACTGTCCATTGGATGACAGTCTAGGGGAGATGGCTAAACCCTGATTCCAAACCTCCAACGACTGGCGTATGAAGCTCACTGGAGCTCACCGGCAGACGTATGGACAAAGGGCTTGTTGGATGTCCTGGATGTCTGGCCCCATTCAAAAAGGCGTATGAACCGAACTCCGGTCACCGGCTGCCAATGGATAGTGGACTCCTTACTCCACTCCTACTGCCTTGTAGGTCACACTTGGCTGTGTAAAGGCTAGAGCTGCACTCTCAAACAAAAGGCCGAGCGATGCTGGGGACATCACTCGTACCAAATTCCCATGAAACTTCATGAACTCTCTTACAAATTGCCGCGCCTGGGCAGTGATGATTCGAGACGTTCATGAAGCCGGCTCATCCTCCCGTAGGAGATAGCCCAAGTAAAGTAAAGTAAAGTATTTAAACGATGGACGTATGGACTACGCTGATCACACATACTTACCGCTTATTATATGAAGTTGTTTAAGATGTTTTTCTGATGCACGACAAAATCAGTATATACAGGAAAACATAAACTAATATTTACATCATGCGAAATATATTCTGACTTGCAAAAACAGTCGTATCTACGTCGTTTAACTCCTGTTACACATTAAGTAAACAAGAGATCGAAAACGCATTATCTCATTATTCAGTTGGAGAAAACGTTTAGTTCATTTCTACAATACGGTTCAGAACACAATAAGAATCTGAGCACACTGAAGACATCGTCGAAATCACTACAACTCCATCCTAAGGCAACAAAAGCAGAAAACGCAACATAGTTTATTCAGGGCAATGTTTCAACTTTCGAGTATTAATATATTAAATGTAATACAGTACATTCATACGAGTAAGAAGAAAAAGCAATGAAAACGCTAAGAACGACAAGGAGAGAATACAGACATTTGAAAAATCCATTATCTCACCTTGAACGCATTCAATTAGCTCTATTTAGTGAGCACATGAGTCATGAAGATTCAAGGGGGACTGATTAGCCTTTAAAAAATTTAAATAATAACGAGTAACAACCAGAAACAAGATAATTACTTCACTATCAAGCACATTTCTGAAGCGGACTAAGTTAAACCATAGGGTCACAGGGGTGCGAACTCTCCAATTAGCTTGAATGAATACTAACCAAACCTGTTATTATTGTAGAACAAATATGAACGCTATTCACCAACTAAGCAGCGAATTTCACTCGGATCACATTTCAAAGTACTGTTTGGACAATGTGTTAATAGCTCGTTGGGGTTAGGAACAGTTATAATTAGGGTGAGGATTAAGGATAAGGTTACAATTAGAGATAAGCATCATTCTGTATGTGCAAAAGTTACTTATTTTTACGGTTAACAGGTTGAAGGTCACTCATGCGTTCGCACCCCTTGGTTACATTGCTTGACTGGATCCCGGTAGATAGCCGAATGTGTGCTGTCCGCCTGAACGGATCAGTAAGAAGGAGGAAGGACTGCACTACTCGCCGATGCCTTTTCGTAATCTCCGCCTACGCCCCCACTGACTGCAGTTCAGATGAAACGAAGGATGAGTTCTACCAAAAGCTGTCTAGTTTGGTGCGAAAGGCTAAACGCTCAGACATAGTCGCTCTAGCTGGTGACTTTAACGCTCAAGTAGGGAAATTGTGTCAATCTGAGAAGGATGTCGGTGGCACCTATGGAGCTCCGTGCCAGCGAACTGACAACGGTGACCGTCTCCTACAGTTCTGTTCTGATAATCATTTGTTTCTTGTAAGCACTAACTTTAAACACAAGGAGAGACACTGTTTGACCTGGTGACACCCTTCATCAAACCAACACTGGACACAAATAGACCACATGGCAATAAGCTATCGTTGGCGTGGGTCGGTAGGAGATTGTCGCTCCTTCTGGAACACGTGTGTAGATACCGACCATGCACTGGTCCGCGCTCGGGTGTGCTTACGACTGAACGGACGTAGGAAACAGCTGGCGGTAAAACCATCACGTCCCCAGCTCGATCAGGAAACTAAATCCGTATTTCAGGAAGAACTAGCTAAACACATATCTGTGTTCGACAGCTGTGCTCACCCTGAAGAAGCTTGGAAAAATATCCAGGCAGCCATAGATACAGATGTAAAAGCTGTGAATAAGGTAAACCCAAAGGTGAGTAAAAACCACTGGATCTCCACCGCCTCATCCGAACTGATAGATGCTAGAAGACTTATTCCGGCGAGCTCCGAATTCAATGAGGAGCGAAAGCTGCACAAGAGGAAACTTACGAAAAGTCTCCGCAAGGACCGTGAACAGTGGTGGGCGACAAAAGCCAAAGAGATGGAGAAAGCTTTGAGGATAGGCAACACCAGGCAACTCTTTGGACTCATCAGGGAAACGGGTGGGAGAAGACAAATCATCAGTGAGACAATCTCGGAAAAAAATGGCACT